ACAGATGGGTCACAGTCACCCAAACACCCTTCCAGCATCCCAGTACATCACCAATACTTTGTCACAGGTCACAGATCAAGCAAATAGATAGTCACAGACACTTCAACCAATCCGCCGCACCAGTCACCAGATCCCAATACACCAACAATACTTGATCACAGGTCACATAACGATCAAATTTTTTTATAGGTCACAGATTGAAAAAAATCAAAACTTTTACGGGTCACAATGAGTCACAGTCACAATCTCTAGGTCACACACACCCACGACCGCTACCCCACCACAGCCAACATCCCAACCACCACAAAAAATATTAGATCCATAAAACCACCACCCCTAACACGACCACCGCCACAATAATTATGCAACCGCCACCTCCACCTCACAACCAAAAATGCAACTGCACCACCACAGTCGTACCTCAACCTCCACCATAGCACCATCACCACGTAAATCTGTAACCCACCACCACACAAACACACATCAACACCACACATCAGCACCAACACTACTGCACCACCACGCAGATTAACAACCCACCAACACACAAACAACATCGTGCCACAATTGATTTCTAACCTCCACTATTGCAGCTACAGAAAAAGATTTCGCCCATATCCATCGTCCCTACAACGACAGAAAAAGATTTCGCCCACATCCATCGTCCCTACAACGACAGAAAAAGATTTCGCCCACATCCAGTGACAGATTTTGTAAATCGATAAATATGAATTGAAAGTCGATCCACCACTGGTTGAAAGAGTGAAAGGCGATGACTGATTTTTGGTAATAGTGACTGGAGCTAGTGGGTGGTGACGGGAAAAATTAAGTGAAAGAATAAAGAGTCACAGGAGAGGGAGGGGAAAGGAGACGCTGCTGCGAATCACAGCAGCGTCGTTGTAACGTTGCTGCGATTCACAGCAAAAGGAAGGAGGGAGGGAGAGGGATGGAGGAGGCGGCGGGCAGCGATGGTGGTGGAGAGAGGTGGCAGTGGAGGCGACGCCCGGTTGGGAGGAAAGTTGAGAGGAGATAAATGAAATGGATTGGGTT